GAGAGAGAGAGAGAGAGAGAGAGAGAGAGAGAGGAAAAAGTTTCCTCCTTTCTCTCCTCATGAATGTAAATATCTAGATTGCTGAGCATTTCACTGTAAACTGTAGAGGTTGGTTAATTTTGGAAGTTGGTTGAAGTTTCAGATTGTATTAGCTGTATTGATTTAGTTATCATATCAGGCTTGCCTAGATCTGTTACTTATCTGACACTTGTTGCATGTATGTAAATATTTGAAACCTATACCTTATACAAGTTTCCTATTGAGGAAATCATTAGTGAAGGGCGGAGGACCAGGATAAGTGGGGTCTATGATAAAAAACAATAGTGGCCATTTAGGTAAGTAGTGACATGCAAAGGGAAGCTCAAAGGCGCAGGCAAAGGCGCTGGTATTTCATCAGCAGAGCTAAGCGGCTGATTATGCTGGTTTGTGGGGATGAACTAAACATAGCCCTGAAATCTAAATACAACTTTTTCTGTTTCTTGTCCTATCAGGAAGCATGAATAGATTCTTTAGCCCCCATCTGAACCTCTGAAGGAGCTTTGGGTTTGCTTGAAGTTTAGTTTAGGTACTCCTGAATAAAGTATAACCAGATATTGGTTCAGATAGTCAGGAGAGAGAGAAGCAAGTTATTTTGTTCATCTGCCAGTTTTTCTAAGCAGTACTCTTGTGAAGAACCTTGCAGAGAGTGCTATCTTTTTAAACACACACACACACACACACACACACACACACACACACAGCTCTCACTCCAGAGAGAGAGAGAGAGAAAGAGAGAGAGAGAGAGAGAGAGAGAGAGAGAGAGAGAGAGAGAGAGAGAGAATCTTTCTAATCATGTGGTTTTACCTGCATTGCAATGCTTATGTGGACTCTACATTGTTGGGGCCAATATAATAGAAATTATTCATGAGCTGCCTGATTTCTTGAAGCCTGGCTAGCTGCCTTCAGTGTCAGTGTTTTTGCTGGCCTGTGTCTTTGCCCTGGAAAGGGAAGTTCATTCTTCTCCTGAACACAAAAGGATGGACTCTCTGGCTTTCTATGAATGTTCATAGAAGTTGCCTTATGGTTTCGCAGGGTATGTCTGTCCCCCTGCCTGCTCTAGAGGCATCTGCTCATATGGAAATATGGAGCATGAGAACAATCTCTGAAGAGCTAGTTGCTCACCCAGCATCATGTCAAAAGCAAAGTAAAGAGTTGAAAGTTTTCACCCCTTTTCTGTCTCCCAGTAAGAAAGATTCCCTCTGACTTCTCTAATTTCCAGAGTAAACAGATTGCCATCTGCATGTACAGCCTCCCCTTTGTTCTGTTGTCCTTCTGGACTGCTTAGGTATGTTGATAGTCAGTTGCTAATTCCAATCAAGTCTATGGAAAAAAACTATAGATTTTAAACAGTGTTTTATTGTTGTTTATCCAAATGTAAGTAACAACTGACGTCTCAGTACTAACCTTTTGGTAACTTGAAGTTCAGAGAGATCTTTAAGGATGTACAATTCACCAGGAAGATCATGTGCAAATTTTAAGTGATTGTGAGATTATGAGATTAATGCTGTGGATGTGGAAAACTCTTTTAGAATTTTTGCTTAATATAGAAGAACAGTTGAAACTCTGTTTACTTAAAACAATGGCAATAACAATTTATTAGTAAATTGTAAAGGAATATTTCTAAATGCCAAAAGGTTATTTTCAAGCCTCACATATCTTACTGAAAGCAAATTATTATTGTTTTCTTTTTAAAATAAATGGATCAATCCTTTCATTGAGCTTATTCAGTTAAAAAAAAAAAATCTGCCCCTGAAAGGGCTTTCAAGCATTTTTGTGTTAGAGAAGTAGAATAGGCCCGGAATAAAAAACCTTTCTGGATTTGCACCCCAGCTGCATGAGAAGAAAAATGTGCTGGTCTGTAGTTATCCACAGGTAGATTTAATCAGTAGCACGTTTTACTACTCCAAGGAGAGAAGTAAAAGCTCCCTTTGGCACTCGCAGGCTCTAGCAAGTTGAACTGCACATACTTGTGTATAATGAAAACAGTAAAAGAAAAGGAAACAAGTTTTAAAGTTTGGTGATTATGGAGCAAAAGGAAATTTTAGTGTGGCAAATTTCCAGCGCAGTCTTAGTTGAACATTTGTGAGGACCGATGGTGGAGAAGGCCTCTTAAAAAAGGATTCCCTGAGACTGAAAAGAATGACTGACATGATTTAGATAATAAGAGAAAAGTAGAAAGAAAGAAAGCACTTACTAATAGAAATGTTTCCATTTGCTTGAAGATAAATTATTGCAAACAATTAAGAAGTACTTAATATTTGCATAAGTGTCGCTGTGTAGAGTCGGCGCAGAGATGTGTCACATCAAAAAGTTTTTCCCCCTTTTAAGTCATTATTCCATCTGTAAACAGCCTACTATGCCGTAGTGCTTAAGCTGGGGGTGCTTTGAATATTTTGGTTCTTCCATACATCATAATGCAAAGATATATATTCAAGAGCCTGATGAAAATAAGTAGCAGAAGACAATGAGGTAAAAAATTATGGGTCTTTTTTTTCTTCCCTTCCTATCACATTGCAGCTTTTAATATAAACTAAATAAAAAAGCATTTAACATAGTTCTTACTTCAGATATGTAATGACTACATTTTTCTGCTCCAAGTCACTATGTATCCCAGGGACCCTGAAAGTTAGGAAGAGGGAGGTATTTAAAACGCACACCTGCAGGTTCAGGTAAAAAAAAAGTGTTCAAGGGGGCCAGGGGGATGGCTCAGTGAAATAATCGCTTCCCTGGCAAGCGTGAGGGCCTGAGTTCAATCCCAGGTTCCATAAAAAAAAGTGTTCAAGAGTCAATATTTGCCATTGACTAGCTGGGAAGGTGACTCTGAAGTTTCCCTGGAGGAGGAGTTCTGAAGGTGACATTAGTTTTATTTACCTTCTCTCTGACTGCCCATCCTTCCCCTGATTTGGGGGATCTTGGGGAGTCTTGCAACAGAGACCAGTTGTATTTCTAAACCAGATACACATATTTGCTATGTGTTTTTGTTTTCCTTTATTTCTTGAACTTTTGTGTGAACTTCTACTTTGGAAAATATTTGTGCATATGGCTGAATCTATGTCTTGATTTCTGATTTATGAGAGTTTCCTTTCATTGTGGATAAAGCCTGTGTGAGGGGTTGTAGAATCTTCCAGGTTGAGAATGGCGTTTCCATAGAAACACTATTAGGTGAAAAGTGCCCTGCGGGTCCGCCACTCTAAGGATGGAGTAAATGGAATTGAATTGGGAATTGAAAGCTCTAGAAAAGACAGATGTTCTTTCATTGGCTTTGCTTTGGGTGACAAGATCTGT